TTTGTTTTACCCGGAAGAACTCAGCTCTCTATTTCTAATATTGAAAACGTTCTTTTACCCGAGTCCTTAGTTACTTTCCTTAAGGAACCGAAGAAGCCCCAGCTGAGCTGGGATATTTTTCTCGTAATCTCCATTGAATTTATGCCTACGCAAATGTTATTTTCAGACGAAAAGATTTTTAAATATTTTCCTTCCGCAATCACACACGTAAGAAAGGAGAAGGTATTCAAAGTTTGAGAGTGAAATTAGTATAGTATATACAAGTTGAGAGAGCGGGGTGTTAATGTCAAATTTATCGGTTGGATAGCAACTTCAAGGCTGAGCAAGGCGGCAGCCAGTAGTTCTAACCCTAGTGATTCATGAGGATGTGGACACAACTCTAAATGGGTCGGCCGTGGGCCAGTTGTTTATAGCCTTTTGTGGGTAGTGGACAAACGACTTGGTCCGTGATGATCAAGTCTTTGGTTGCGTAGTCTTAGAAATCTTTGCTGAGATTGGGCCACTTTCACTTTTAGACTTTATTAGCTAATTATAGCAAACGTAATTAACGGTGATAACGGCAACAAAAAGCTCAGATCAGATACATTTAGGCTAAGGGGCGGTGAACCCAAACGTAGAGTAGACTGTACTAGTGACATCACGGGCTCAAAGCCGTGTTGACGTAATCAGATTAGATAATGGAGACCCAAATTAATTGAATATTGGGCCCACAGCTGTAGTAATAAATAAGCTTTGGTTTCAAGGCGCCGACTGAGGCTCTTCTAGAATCACTTCTATTTTAACCTATTTACTAACTATTTTATTATTATGTTATTATTGACTTTTATTTTGTTCTATCCTTCATTTTGATATGAGAAATGAAAGAAATTATCTTGTTAAACACAATCATGGGTAGAAATTCAACGTGTGTTAATGACTAAACATATTATTAGATAGTCAATAATGCAAAGATTATATTCTCGTATTTGGTTTAGATTGCTATTAATTTGGTTTATTTGTAAAATAATCCTAGATTTCGTATTTACTAATAATAATTCATAATTTCCTCATTTTCTTTCAAATTATTTACAAGCTAAGCATGTCTTATAGCGGGTTTATTGAAATACAATCTTGAAACTATTGATATTTTAGATGGGTTAATGATGATTGAAATTATAGATAAGATTGAATAATTAATGAAAGCCTTGGCTAAAAGTACATAAACACAGGTACATTGAACCCCATATATAAAATATCGAAATGACTCAACTTCATAATTGCTAGTGGCGGTGGTTTGGTTTTTCCTCCTTTTCCATCTGTAATCTATAATTGTGATGGTGATGGCTTGGACGTTTGAAAATTGCCTTTCGTGGGGAAATTATAGAGTCCTTAAGAACTTTCTTGATTGCTTGACTCTCCAAAAAATCCATGCATCAAGAATTGAAGATGAAGATTTTATTCTACTGACTCTTACTTTTCAAACTATGATCATCTTCATCTTCATTTGCATAGTTTATGGTATTAAGTTCCTTGAGTTTCTTCGAAGAGTAATGTATTTTAAGTTGAAAGGATTAAGTATTAATTTAATATTAATATATTAAATTTAATTGCTTTGACAAGAAACATAATTTTTATTTTTAAAAATGAACCATAAGAGACGGTTACAATAGAAAAAAAATAAAGGAATAATGATTTTGGTTGAACTTTTTAAAATAATCATGGAGGTTTTTTGGATACTATGCCTATGGATGATTAAGAAATGATTACAGCAAGGGGCAATCCCTTTGCAGCCACTCCATCTCCCCCAGGATCCAGACTGACTTCCAAGACGCTATCATTCCATCTTTTGTCGGATGAAACCTTTGCACAATTCTGCCAACCCAACCTCCATCAGCCAGAGCAATTGGGCAAAAGCTTATAAGAATCCACCACACAAGAAATTATAAACAAAACAAGGAATAGAGGAACTTGTCAGTGGGTAGTACAAAAAAAGAGAAGTGGGGAAAAGAACTTGGTTTTCCTCAACACCATGTATAATGATGTAGGGAAGAGAAAATGAGAAATAAACTAAAAACAAAACAAAAAGAAGAGAAAAATAGGGTATGGAGAAAGACTACAAGGGTTTAAGAAATTTTACTGCTATGGATATCTATTCATCCGAGGATTTAAAACTAAAAAAGCTTTGCTGATAATACTTAAAACTATTAGTACCTTTTATCGGCCAAATCAATGAGAAGTTTTGCATATATATTACTCTTTCATTCCCCACACGTTTTGTCTTGTCAGTTATCATGATTGTTTCTTTTGTTAAAGTAAAGTATTTGTCAGGATGGCCCCAGATTTTAAGAGAGCGAATCATTTTTTGTTCTACTGTTGGAGGAATGCATGGAAATTAGACCACTACTCTTGTAAAGGCTCAGCCAAAAAAGATAGTAGAACTAATCATAAGCAGATACATGCATTTGTACTTCCTTCTTTGTTTGAGACATCAGTGGAGGAGGAGAGAGTTCTAATGCCTAAATTGCCAAATTGACTTGAATTGACAGGGAAATTGTGAGCCATTATTGTGTAGAAGTTCGAGAACTTGGGTATAGGTTACAAGAATTAATATCGGAGAGCTTAGGCCTGGAAAAAGATTACATAAAGAACGTTTTGGGGGAGCAAGGGCAGCATATGGCTGTGAACTATTATCCGCCATGTCCGCAGCCAGAGCTGACCTATGGATTGCCAGGACATACAGACCCCAATGCTCTTACAATTTTACTTCAAGACTTGCAAGTTGCCGGCCTTCAAGTACTCAAAGACGGCAAATGGGTTGCTGTTAATCCCCGCCCAAATGCTTTTGTCATTAACATTGGTGACCAATTACAGGTAATATATATAACTACTCCCACTACTAGTATTTTGCCATGTGCACGTTGTGAAGTTATTCATAATTAAACTCGAAAGGTATAACGAAAAGTACAAAGGTAAGGATGTTGGAATGAATGACTAATTAATATGTCTTCTAAACTACACTTGGTTTGCCAATATGCAAGCTTCCTAGCAAATCAGTCCTGACATCGATGATTGCAGGCATTGAGTAATGGGAAGTACAAGAGCGTGTGGCATCGAGCCATTGTGAATGCTGATAAGCCAAGGATGTCTGTTGCTTCCTTTCTCTGCCCATATGACCATGCCTTGATCAGCCCTGCAAAACATCTTACAGAAGATGGATCTGGAGCCGTATACAGGGACTTTACTTATGCAGAATATTACAGTAAGTTTTGGAGCAGGAACCTGGACCAAGAACATTGTTTGGAACTTTTCAAGAACTAACACCAGCTCACCGTCTGGTTGATCTTCGGTACTTATTCTATCATTTTGTCGACTTGTCAGGATCAATTGCCTGCTTGCTGCCAGTTACAGGCGTTGGTTTTATATTACCAAAATGCATAATGAACTGCAGCATCAGTAGAACGCCCCATTATTATTCATGGCAGTGTGCCATTTTTTAATGCAGCATACTGCCATATGCTGGCAGCCTACCGTAACATATCCATTTGTAGAACTTCCCAATTTCTGCTGATTGTGGTTTGATTATTGGTCCACAAAGAAACATGGGATTATTTTGTACTGATGTTGCACTTCCCTATATTATTGTATTCCAGCATGCGGGACAATCTTATCCGTCATAAAGTGGTCTTATGCAGGACAATGTTATGTGTAATGAAATGGTTCTTGCTGTTTGTGAATGTAATTTGAGCCTAGTAACTGACAGCTTTTGCTGCCGTACAGGTGAAGTTTTGCTAATGGCAAAGCGAAGCGGGTGCTGGATGCCTTGCGCCCATTCTGATCAACTACCCTAGTTTCTCTGGAAGCATATGTGCATACTCTTGCATAGCGAATATATATGCACTCACTTGCAGGGTTGTGTAGATTGCTCTTCTTTGTGTTGCCACTTGCTAAATTTGGTGAATAAATAAAATGTGTTGTTTCAGGGAAAACCGAAGATAGAATAGGAAGTGTAAAGTAGTAATTACATAAATCCCACTTCAATAAAGTTCGGGATTTCGTGATTATTTAATAGATAGACATTATCTCAACTTCTCAACAGATTCAGGATCCATATACAGAACAAATGATTTGCCGGCCCTGGTAGTGTAGTTTCCACCAAGATTGCTAGCCTCCACATTCACCAAGTTACAATGTATCATTTTTTTCTAACTGGACCTCGAGATTGGATTTCATAAATACTGAATCATTTCTATACACTTGCATCAGAACTTCAAAAGAACATGCTTTAGCATTTTCATACAATTTGCATATGCAGTATAGACATCTGTTGGTCGTCTTAGTCTTAAGTTCACTAATTATAAGGATTGAAAACCTCGACAAAGGACATACACTTATCATTGAATTCTAGATCTCAATAAGGAAAAATTAAGATGGTTCCATCTGTTAAAGTTCTTATATTTGCCCAAGCTTCTCTTCTCTGAAATAAACGTGTCCCTTTAACTTCAATGGGTGAAGTCGACCCTGATCTATAATGATGTTTCTTAGATCCATTTCCTTTCGTAATCAATTTTTCCACCCATATGTTTTCCAGGATCACTGGTACACTATTCCTTCTGATTCTAACTAGTAGCAATATCTGCCAGCACACCCAATTAAGTCATCTCCTGTATTCTGCTGAAATTATCACAAGGCATGATTTAGCTGTGGGCTACCATGATAATTGAAGAACGAGTTCCCAAGCTTTGGTAAAAGAAAATGCCGCAAACAAAATATGTATTTATACAATCACCTTTTGGAGACATTAAACAACACTTTAATTAATAGTTACAGTGAGGAAGGGGGTACATCTATCAACATATATAAAATAGTATTTATTTTACACAAGGAGCATAAAATCTCATTCTTATTGTTTTCTGTGAGCAAGAAGAACTATGTATTCCGGAAAGCCACCTTTGATACAATCACAAATTAAGCTTACAATCCAAAAGTAATGGTGAAGCATGTAGCAAAGCCAAAGATTCAAACCGTTTTGAGAAACTCCATGATATAAGTGCCAAAAGCACAACACTTTACTTGGAAACCTTGAAATCCTGAACCCTTTGCCAAGGCCTCAAATTCCTTCTCAGTCCTCTCTTTCCCACCAGGGTTGTGAGCCAACATGATACAATCAATATGGACAACTAACTTTGTGGCAAGGCTAGCATCTGGGTAATCTGGGAGATTGCATTCGGCAACAATCACTTTTCCATTGTCTGGCAAAGCTTCATAGCACTTCTTCAAAAATTTGGAGCAGTGTTCATCGCTCCAGTCATGACATATCCACTGCATCACACATACATGTCAAGAGCACAAATCATGGTTGATCAGGCTAATAAAATTTTTAGTTCTTGTCTTTCATAATGGTTTATGCACCAGTCAAAAGTGAACTTGCACCCGCATGTACTCTGCCTATTATAAAAAAAGGAATATCTCAGCCTGAAGTTTCCTTTACTTCACAAAGGAACTTCAGCAATTAATTTGAATCAGTGGAACAGTGCATTAGAATTGTTGGTCTAAGACCTTATTTATAGATTTTCCAGAGGCTTCTTGCCATCCCCTGCAAGATAAACAGGGGATGGGAGAAAGAAAAATCTTTAGAGGTGAATGGAACACTACCTAGGGTTGAGTCAAAGGGGACCAAGTTGAGAGTTAGTGGTGTGTTAATTCCACATGTCATTCATTAGCTCCATTATTTCTCAGATTGTTGAGTTCAACAATCAACAAGCCACATAATGGGTAGGTACAGCAGAGATTTTCAGTTGATTCAAACTCACCTTCATGAAAATGGCATCTCCTTTTGGAACACTTACAAACATATCTCCACCAACATGCTCCACACCTATAGACAAAACATAGTAAAATTTCATTTCTAAAACAAGATAAGGAACAATGCAGTATTGTCCACAGATTTGAGGAAATGAAGAAATTCATGTTTTTAAGATACAAATATTAGTCTAAAATGCAATCAATGTCCTGAATAAATATTAAATTGGTGATAAAGTTAATCCCACGTCAAGTAAGTTGAGGTATCCTACATACATAAATATTATAAAGACCATTTCACTTGTTGTCAATTGATTTTGAATCGGATGTCCATCTAAAATTTTACCATTTACTACGATAATTAACTGCTTATAGGCACTTAGTAATTAAATTCAAAGGAACTCAATAGATTGAGACCTGTTGGCTATTACAAGGACTAGAAGGATGGAGAATATTGTGATACCAGGATAAGCTGGAGCATCGTCAATGACATGAGGCAAATCAAAGTTAATGCCCTTTATGGAGGGGTACTTGGAGATGATCATGTTAAGTGTGGCACCAGTACCACCGCCAACATCAACCAGTGTTTTGACTCCCTCAAAGCCATCGTAGGTCTCAAGAATCTTCCTCATGGTAATGGTAGAGTGCTCAGACATTCCCCTGTTGAAAACCTTGTTGAATCTAGGGTCTGTGCCATGGTACTCAAATGCCGTCATACCATAGGCCTTGTTGAACGGAATTCCACCTTCGAGCACTGCATCTTTCAAGTAGTACCTACAAAAAGTCCAACAATGCTTAATTCTCAGGTCAATCTCAGTTAGGATAATATATCTTCACTTTATATGTAGATGAACTAGTGACTTTACTATTACGAATCAGCAGTTTATTTCAGGGCCAGGAGAGAACTTCCTCAATTGAGATGTTGAAAATTTGATCATCCACAGCAGCCCCGTTTTTGTACATCATTTGCCTTTTAAAATATTCTACAATAGGAAGGGTCAAATGCTAGCAAAATCAATTAGTTGGCCTGACCTCCTCTGAAAATTTTTGATCAACTGTTTTGAAAAATGTTCTGGTTTGAATTTACTTCTGAGTGTCAACCAATTGCTTCATCATAGTGAATCCACATCAGTCTCCTCAGAATACTCGTATTTTACTTCAGTGATAAAGACCTGATTGTGTATATAGTGCATCTTAAGTTATTCCTTCTAGTCACCATTATCATGATTAATGAGCTGTCACTTGCACTGGAATACTACTACTTCTATATTTATAAACATTAAATAATAGTTTTTGTTTTCAATATATTTATGTTTCCATCTTCTGATGTTCGTTGAATACTTATTTTGAACTTAAGTTTGACGTGGTTGATCGAGATAAGATAAAAAATAAATAAAAGAATAAGCCAACATTCACATATTTTCCATACGGTGGATGAACAAACCCACTGGCCCTAAGGAGATGATGAAAATTTGTATATTCTCCTATTAATTTATATTTGCATCATTTTTCCGTTTTATATTTTAAACAAAAAATGTTGGGTGATAGGTGTCCCAAGTTTCAAATAGTATTGGCCCCAATTGTTTATCACAATTACCTAACTATAGTGTACGAGTATAACATATCCTCTCAAGCTTTTGTTTTTGCTTTTGTTTCTACCGCTACCTTGACCGACATATTTATCTTTTGAGTATTAGGGTCATAATATTATCTTCAAGTATAATTATTACTATATGGTAAAAGTGATACCGTGACAAGTTAATTTAAAGCCGTAAACATATATATGAAGCATAATTAAGTAAAAATTTTATATTTAAGTTATGTATAATACACGCATATAGTTGTTAATCACTCTCTTTCAAGCATAGACAAATAGGAAGATAAGGTTAGAACGTTTGAAAGAGACGTAAATACTCCTATATATACGGTTTCCGAAAATGGAATGCTCTAGTCAATGAATTACTTAACTTCAGAAAAGAAATGAAGGGTTGAGGGAACCAACCTTTATCACAACACCAACAATGATGATATGAGTAAAGTTCACCAGATAGAGTAGCTATGAATATTTCTTTTTGGGGCGTAAATGAATGAAGAATTGGAGAAATAACCAAGTAAAGGGGAATAGAGAAAAAGCAAGGAGCAAAATTAATCAAGGTTTAGCGCTTACCAGCTCTCCATGAGGACCTTGTCCTGATTCATGAGACTTAGGGTGGAAAGAGTGACACCATCCTCATTCTTGGTCAAAAATTTGCAGACAGGACCAAGACCATAGAGTCTCTCCACTTTGCCATCAGGAAGAGTACGCAAGGAGCAATTGAGAACGGAGTAGCTAGCAAGGAGGCGCAAGATGCGGTCTAGCATGACAGGTGCATCAGGGTTCTTCGTGGGGAGCTGGGAAGCCAATTCTTTTGGGGACAGGAAAGCACCTGGACCAGCTTTGGCCATGATTTCGAGCAGGTCGAGTTCTATGGCTGACTTGAGGACCATGGGTAGAACTGAGGCACAGGTCAGTTGCATGGCGAATAAGTTCGCTTCCTCGTCGGAGACTTGGGTGGGAGTCATTTGGGTTTCACCGGCTGAACCCATTGTTTTCTTTGGTTGGGATATTGGAGTTCGGACGGTGTGAAACGCTGAAGAAAGAAGCAAGATTGGAGAGTTGAAGATGGGGGAATGCCAGGCACAAAGTGGAGTTATATATCGTTGGTTGTCTCAACCACTTCGCTCTTGGTCCCAAATTCCCCATGTACAAGTGCCCACCCACCTAAAAGACAGGACCCCACAGTCCACCCTCTCTGTATCGATCGCAAACCTTTTTTATACTTTGGTAGGGTCTACGTATTTCAATACTATTTCACCCTGACCATGATCTTAGACGATCTATAAAACTATTTTAATTCTCTGGCGACGTAACCCACAAGGATCAATCATAGGGGAGCATTTTTCGGTGTTGCAATAGTCGAGTAAGATTTTACTTTGCTGTGATCACCTCTGCCGCCTTTTGACTAGCGGGAGAAAAAATAATATATCAATGGTAAAATCTGATGGCAAAGTCAAAGCTGGAAGTACTGTTTCTGTTAGTGTAGGACAACTGCACCATATGGCGTACAAACCGAGTTAGGTGTATGTTAATTCGTTAATGTAAATGGCCATGTCAAGGAAAGCTGACGTAGAAACTAACAAACTTAAAACGACAATACAAAATTTAAAAGCGACCTTTGTTTTTTCTTGGACAAAAGAAAAGTGTAATATTCAAATAATATTTCAGGTAACCATTTGAGCGCAGACTCCAAAGGCAGTCCCTCCCTCAACTAACCCATTTGAATTTCACACACCATTTTTTGGTTGGGATTAGAATGCCTCGTCATGAATCACACTAGTACTCCATTGAACGCATACAAGTCAAATGAATAAACCACTCGAAGCTTTTGAAACCACAAAGAAGTTGGGGAGAGAAAAATGAACAAGTCGAAATGAAATGTGTTGGATTGCTCAAGTTTGGTACTGTTCTGAGATAGAGGATTGCTTGAATTTTTCTTTTTTCTTTTTTTTTGTAATATTTCTTAGAGTAATATCTTGGGTGAAAAATCGTACTAATATTTAAAATCTTAAAATTATTTTTCACCATAAATTGAATAATACAATGCAAACGCTTTGGGGGGTGTTCAGGGAGTTTTTTTTTTTTTTGGTTAAAGGTAAAAAATTTCTTTTAAAATGAGGAAGAAAGAAAAATCACCACAGCAATAATAAGACCATTGCCACCTATATTACCCATTATGCCACAATCATAGGGGTAATTTCCCAAAATCCTGCAACCAATCATAAACCCAGAAACATCAGACAACAGCCCAAAGAGAAACCTAGAACCTACAATTAATTCAGATGCAATTAAGTTTTATAATTAGATGAACTATGCCGGATTTCAGTTTTTATTTATTTTAAAAATTAGAGATTTTGTCGACATCACTAATTACTTATCAATTAATCATACAAATACCGAGCTTCTTAAAAAAGAAAAACAATGCAAATGCTTTCAAAGTTAACCAACTAAATATTTTTTATGTATTAACAATGTTGATGTTGTAATTGGATACAAAACGTTTTAACTATTGATCTTAGTCACGTCGAGTCAGATAACCGCTCGCTGAAGAATACGAAGCCAACAAGATATAGAGAGACGACAAAGAGCTGATAGGAAAAGAGTTGGTGAGTGGGGCCAAAGCATCTGATAGTGAATCAATTTTATTTACTTAAAACGCTTGGCAACAACTTAATTGACTTGCATCTAATTAGGACCCATAATATTCAATTATCCGGTAGAAGCCGTGATGACTGATTCTACTTAATTTTGATTTCTGTACATTCACAGCTCACTGTCTTTTTCTCTAAGGGAACAAAAATGAAACTGATGCATTAATGAAAGTCGCCCTATTTTTTGATTTTCTATAAAGTTAAAAGGTTTTTTTAAAAAATTAATTAAGGTATATTTTAAGTGTTAGTGGATGAAACGAAAATACGAGGACGATACAGAACATTTTCATTCATTATTGAGATCTAGCTCGTTTTAGATGCAATTAAGAAATGAATAATATATATATATTATGATTAAAAATGGTGATTTAATTTGAAGGGTTGTCGATAGGACCGGAGTGTTGACATCTCACCATCAAATTATTAAAACGAGAAAAATGGCCTAACATCTCACCTACTACCGCAAGATGAAAAGTTCTGCAGCAATTGGTGACCAGAAACTGCGAACCAACTTGATATGACCCAGCTCTTTATTCTGGAATCTAGTTACTATCTGTCTGCTCGTCTATTGTCAATCTCACAAGTAATGCATCATACCTATATAAATATAGCTACGTTGTGGTCCAAACGTTACTGACTTCACCTACTCTCCCAACAACCCTGCATTCTCTCCCTCTATCACGTCTGAACTTTCGAGGGGTAAAATTTATAATAGGTACTTATATCATCTTGGCAAAATCATGTCTGTCACTGTGAACAACAGCGACCTTTCAACCTATTTTCCTCATAAATTATATATACAAACCTGCCCCGTGACCTAACCATTCCTTAATAATGTTACTATTTATTTAATTGGTTGTGATTTAGAAGTTCTAATTTAATAAGATTGGAGAAGGATATAATGCGGTGGACCAATATAACGTGGCGCCAAATACAACATTCCCTGCATTCACGCGTTAATCAATGGTTAATTCTATCATGAAGCCTCGGGGTGTCCGGGGGGGTTCTCACTTTTGTCATTTTTCAAGTATTAATTAATCAACTGAGGGTGGTTATGTAATGTATATCGATTGCTGCTACTTTGCCAATGAGACGAATTGCTTTCTGCCTCAATATTCTATTGGCAATTGCTTACTGTTTGCCCTTTTGTAATTCATGCAAAAAAGATTTGTACCTGCTTACGTTGATTTAACGTTCAGGATAATTTAACCGGTTATTTGCTTAAATAAATTGGTACGCTGAAGTCTAAAAGGTATGAATAAAAAATGTCTTTTGTTGTACTAGAATCAACGTGTCTTTTGCTGTATGCATGATTTGATGTTTACCATTCACGCTAACCAAATCCACTTTGCTAGACATAATCAAAGATATTTCAGCGTCGAAGTAATACGCACATCTACCCACATGAATTCAATTGCCGTGACATAATTTTCAAATAAAATTTTAAATTATTTAAAAATTTTAAATAAGTTTTTTTTTTTACGTTTAATCAAATTCTTATATATTTTTTAGATCAAATAAGTTCTTATGATTAATAATAGATTAATTATTATAAATTAAAATACCACTTATCATTTTATATTCGCATGACATTGATATGACATTAATATAAAAAGTGAAAAACATCATATAATTATATTATCATACTAAATTAATATATTACGTCACTATCAATTATGATATATTAGCATGTTACATTAACATTACATAATATTATTGCTTGCTTATTTATCAAGATAAATTACTTTAAGATTTTTATCAATTTTAGCAAAACATCATGCAAGTGCACATGATTAACAAGTAATATAGTAGTAACATTACATAATATTATTGCTTGCTAATTTATCAAGATAAATTACTTTAAGATTTTTATCAATTTTAGCAAAACATCATGCAAGTGCACATAATTAACAAGTAATATAATAGTAAGTGAGTTATCGTTTTCACATGAAGTTAGTCTACTATTTATTACTAATTATTAAAATTATAGCAAGCTAAGTTTGATCCAAATAACAAAAAAAAAAACAAGTTGATGAAATAAAATTTAATCTAAAACTTCAAATTAATCTAAGAATTGTAAATTAAAAGTTGAATGAGAAACCAATGTAATTAAAGCGTACAATTATAGCTTCAACTATTGCATTGTTGGGATTCTTACTTTTTATTAGAATTAATGTTAGTTTAGGTTCCTTGAACATGTGTACTACTCCATTAAGTCATCACACAATTGCCTAGTTTCATTAATTATCTATATACCTATAAAAAATTAACCAAAGCTAAGTTCACTAAGTTTATGACTTATATTGACTATATATGATTAATAGGTATATTTTTATCTCATTAATTAATCATCCACTTAGTTTCTTTACAATGAATGAATATACACTACTCAAATTTAGAGCCTTTTGGACTATCTTTATCAAGCATCACCAAAAACTCATACTCAATTTGGTGGTGATCAAGCAACAAATAAGGTAAAATTCACAAATTAAATAAACATTGATATTCTCATAAAAGTAAGTAAAAATCAATCTAAAATATCCAAACTATACAATAGCATTTATCATAATCTTAGATTGAAAGTTCTACCTTAACATGTTCAAGAGACAAATACACATCTTAGCAAAATAAAATATTCTTTTACAAAAAGAGTTAGAGAGAGAAAATCAATCTAGTGTGAGAAACTCTTTCCTACAGCTTTTTAATGATTCTCAACTATTGTTTCCCTCTTTTTTGCCCTTTTTGGTTTCAGCCTCCTTTTGCCCAAAATGGTTTTGAATCCCCTTGGTTTTTCAGCTCAAAAACCTGTACAAAATATTCATTAAATGATGTGTTCTCGCTGCAACAAAAATAGATTCTGACAGCAACCAAAATCTTTCTGACTTGAAGCCTAAGTTTGCCTTGTTTCTCATTGTAGTCAACATGTATTCTTGCTACAGTGAGAAACTCTTTGACTTGGGAGCTTTTTTTCTGCCTTTTCTCACCACAGCCAACATGCAATTTCGCTACGACGAGAAAGTCTTTGACTTGCTATGTGTAGTCTACTGCAGTCTTCACTTTTCAATTGTATTTTTAGCCCTGATTCCTTTTAATTTGGATGAAATGCTAATCATCAAAGTTATAACTTTCTTTTGGCTATCCATCAGTCAAGGAATCACCTTGATTAGATTTTTATAGCTCAAGTTACGCTCCAAACATTACAACATGTTTAGAGATCTTTTAAAGTCAATTTACACCCTTAATTGTTGTTTTCAGTTTCGAGTCCTTACATATCCTTTAATACTAAAAGATTAAATAGTTAAAGGCTGAAGTAAGAGATTTTAAACAAAAATTGACTAAAATTACATAAATAAAAATTTATCACCACATAAATTAAATTATTATTAAAAAACATAAAAACTACCTGAGAATTATTTAAAACT